CTTTCCACTTTTTGGGTTCACCAACTGTACTTCGAGTGATCAATACCTGTTTGAGCTCAGAATAAATCTAATCTAACCTATTTACAAGAATTTAACAAACTAATCTATTACACCAAAAGTGTGTAATTTCCAAAGTAAAGGTCAAGCAAAACTCATTAAAAATACAAACATAAATATGGAAATTACGAACGTATCAGTAAGATTGAAATACACAAGGGGCCTCAGCGCAGCTCGTCTGAAGGTGAGAATGGATAGCCAGCTGGTGGTCACATAGATGAACGGGGTGGCTGAGACCCGGGAGGAACGGATGAAGGCCTACAAGGAACTGGCAGAGGAACAAACTGCGTAGTTCGAGCAGATGGTCATTGATCAGGTACCTCATGTAGAGAACGCTGAAGCAGACATCCTGTCTAAGCTCGGCAACCCTCTATCCGAGGATCAGTCGACGTTCGTCCCCAGGCATCTAAAGAATTTTGCAAGGTAAGAAGTGCACCTCCGACCAGCCATGGAGGCCATCCAGGTACAATTTGTTTCTTTTGCAGAACCTAGTTGGGTGAAGGAGGTAGCCGACTATCTCAAGGACGGAACTCCACCCCTTGATAAAGATGGACGGTCTTCCGGAAGAGCCCCATGGATTAAGAGACGAGCTCCAAGCTTCGAATTTAACAATGGGGAGCTATACAAGAAGACGTTCAGTGGTACTTATCTCAGATGCTTACCGCCGAACCTGGCTGCAGTGGAGCATATGGAATGTGGAGCATCTGAAGAAATTCTACCAATAAACCTACTCAAATTCCTTCCACCCAAAAAAGGGGGGGAAGAGGGAGACATAACTCTCGGAAGAGGGGAATCCCCGGGAGAATAAACCTGTTCCTCATCAGCCACGTAGGCCTAGCTCAGCTCAGCTCCAAGGGCCTAAGCTAAAGAGCAGGTATAGCGAGCGGATGGCGGAACAAAGAACAGGGGAATCCCCAAGTGGATAAACCCATTCTTCATCAGCCACGTAGGCCCAGCTCAGCTCGGCTCCAAGTGCCTAAGCTAAAGAGCAGGTACGGTGAGCGGATGACGGAACTAAGTTGAAGACCCTTAAAAAAATAAAGGGGCACCGGGGAATCCCCAAGTGGATAAACCCGTTCCTCACCACCACGTAGGCCTAGCTCAGCTCGGCTCCAAAGGCCTAAGCTAAAGAGCAAGTACGATGAGTGGATGACGAAACAAAGAACAAGGGATGTCCCAAGTGGATAAACCCATTCCTCATCAGCCACGTAGGCCTAGCTCAGCTCCGCTCCGAGGGCCTAAGCTAAAGAGCAGGTACAACGAGCGGATGACAAAACTAAGTCGAAGACCCCCCCAAAAAACTGGGGAATCCCCAAGTGGATAACCCGTTCCTCACCACCACGTAGGCCTAGCTCAGCTCAGCTCCAAGGGCCTAAGCTAAAGAGCAGGTATGGCGAGTGGATGACGGAACAAAGAACCGGGGAATCCCCAAGTGGATAAACTCGTTCTTCATCAGGACCATCGGCCTCACGCAACATAGGATCAAGGGGCAGCATGGAGGTTCGATAATGAGGTGTTTGAATGAAGACAAAGACCCCTCAAGAAACGGAGAGCACCGTATGTGCCCCACAGTGGAGACGTACGGTTCCCATAGTTGTGGCACCTCATTATGCAGAACCAAATGAGAACCATCGTAGTGGGACGAACATCTCCCACCCAAAGGCCAGGGGTCTCGAAGAGAACCATCACGACCAAGGGTCCGGGGACTAGTATCCCCACTCCAGAGACCACGGGCCCGAAGACGAGCATCTTCCACCCAGTGATTTTTATTCTCCACCAAGATAATTTTCTGAGAGTGGCACGCCCCCAGGGCTTAACCTGTGTTGCACGAGGAAAAGATAGTTGAACAAAGGATACAAACCCCGCCCGTCTCCAAAAAACAGGTGAAAAACCGACACCGAGGGCCTGAAGATGAGCATCCCCACTTCTGAGGCCAAGGGCCTGGAGACAAGCATCTTCCACGAACGTCCCTAAGAATTCGGGCGAAGAAATATCGTTGAGTATGATGAGGTCGAGGCGCGTGCTCACTGCTCGAGGAACCAGGGATTTGTGTTGGGTTAATCATCCTATAAACGTCCCCAGAGGCAAACTGGGGACGAGTCAGGAAGACGTACGTCCCCAACAGGCCACGAAGGCTCGTTCACATAGACGGCCGGATACAGAGTTCCAGTGAAAGGCAGTATGACGGAAGCAATTTTACTTCAAGGCCCGCCGGACGGTCGTCCCCTAAGCCCATGCCTCCTGGTGAGACCCCCTGGAAACAGCCCAAGAGAAGAGGTATGTCCCATATGAGAGGGAGGCCCCAGGGTACCAAACCGCCTGGCGATGTACGTCAGGGAATGTAGTGGCTCATCGGCTTGGGAGGCCCCAAGGGTGTTAGCTGGAGACACATACCAGATTCAGTTCTACTTCCTCATGTCCCGCCCATGTTCGGAACATCAAAAGTGGGGGACTTGTGTTGGGTTAATAGCCCAACATGGGCTGGCTCATAAACCCTTAGGCGAACCCTCTAACGTCCCCGGAAGGACGAACACAACAGGTTACCCTTCCGCTTATTCTGGAGAGGTTCGTCCCCAAGAGGCCGAGGGGACATACGTATCCTAGTGTGGGCAGGCACCTCTGGCCCAGGAGCAGCACAAGACGTTCGTCTGCCGGACTTCGGACCCAGCAAAAAGCAGGAAACAAGCTCGAGAGAACGAATGTCCCCCACCCCTTGGCGGGAAGCCAATGTCCCAATAGGGAACAAGAGGCAAGCTCATGGGGACGAACATCCCCCACCCCTTGGCGGGAAGCCAATGTCCCAGCAGGGAACAAGAGGCAAGCTCATGGGGACGAACATCCCCCACCCCTTGGCGCGAAGCCAAGATTCTGGCGGGAAACACATTTAATGTAGAAGATTCTGGTAGGAAGCGCATTTAATGCAGAAATTTGGTGGATGAGATTCCAACCATCCGCAACTTGCCACGTCAGTTTATCCAACTACCCATTGGTGGTATAAATAGTAGCATTTATTTCATTGTAAGGGGTTGACAACTTAGCACTCTAGCATTCTAGCATTTCTTAGCAACTCGTAGCATCATAGTGGGACGAACGACCTCATGCCTTGTAACCACAGAATTATATTGACACTCTTTACTTGGGCCTTTCTTGCTTATTCTTCATCCGTTTTCATCTCTTTCTTCCGTTTGAACCCCTTAGGTTACGTGTTGGACCTACGGGTTGAACGAATAAACCTCAACAAAAGTCAAAACAAAACTCACTAGCATCGAAAGACTAGAATGGAAAAAGCTTTCCCAAAACAAAACCTGCAGAAGGCAAAGCGGAAGTTCTCCAAAGCGGAAGTTTGATGTCTTGCTGAATTGACGTTGCACCGCCGTCCGCCCGCAGCTGTGTATATATGAAATGAGAACAAATGAATTATTTCCTGTCGTACAAACTATTGGTGAAGTTTGTAAAAAGATGGTCGGGCTTAAAGTTCACAATTCTTTTCACTTGGTATATCGTCTGATTGAGTTGGCTTTAGTATTACCAATTGCAGCAGCCACCGCTGAAAGGGCCTTCTCTGCGATGAATATTATCAAGACAGATATTCACAATAAGATGATAGATGACTATCTTACGGATCGCTTGGTGTGCTACATCGAGAGAGATGTTTTTAGAAGCATTGATATTAAAACTATTATGCAACATTCTCAGAATATGAAAACTCGTAGGCTTGATTTACCAAAGTTGCAGTAGTGAACTATTTAATATGTAATTAACTATTCCGTATAATTTACTACATTTTTACCATTTTATTACATTTGGAGGCTGTTTGGCAACACTATTTTTTGGCTTATCAGGTTTATGAGCCAACTTTTTCACCAAACACGTAATTTTTGCTTTCACACGCTGAATTGTGTAATAAGCAGAAAAAGTAAGTCTGTAGTTACTTTTCTGACTGTATTGGCTGAAGTTACTGTAGATGACCATTTTAGTTATTTTTACATATGATTTTTTCTTTATTTTATTAAGAAAATATATTTTAAAAATAATTTTTTCTTAAATCAGCAGAATCAGCCAATACAGCCACTAAGTGTTATGATTAAAGTTGTTAATTCTGTTTAAATGCTAGAGAAATTTTTATAATAAGAGTTATGTATAATTATTGTTTAAAGTTATGTATATTTATTGTCTATTTAATTAATTTCAAATACCTGTACATTTTAAGTTTTGTTAAAAAAATGTACCAAGTATAATTTAATTAGAACATTAGTTTTATTTTCTATGATTATAATTTGTTGTCAATATCAAATATGATTGAAAATAATTTTCCTTTGCTGATTTATTTTTATACATATTTATATACCCCGGAGAATAACTCGTGTTTTCATTTTTAGTCAATATTGACCGATTTTCTTGATATTAACTGTGTTAACCCGTCATGCTCGGGTTGACTCGTGACCTAATCATCATTTGAGGGGGTCCTTCCTCTCCAATCATGGAAATGTATATAATACGCCTCTCCTCTGGGTTGGGGACTTGGGGTGACTTCACAATTTTGGAGAATGACATGGGTCGAAATAATTTGTCATTGTTCTTGCTCGATTAATAGTCACTTCTAAGAACAATGAGTACATGTGTTATTATTAATGAGCGAGTGGTTGTTGATTTTACTTAGAAAAATAATGTGTTTACATTATGAATTGAACTTGTCAATCCTTTATTATTGTTACCATTGAAATTAAATTAAGTTAAAATATCATTATTATATGCATTACTAATGTTCATATTAGCGCGATCCCTTTATAATTAAAATAAAAGGGTCACGATAAAATTAATTACAAATTTGAACGGTTACATCTCCAATTATTGTAAAGATAGATATTACTCCGTACCAATTTGAATAGCTTACCACATGAAATGAAAATCCTATAAGACACATGTGATAGCACATTTGAATACGAGTATTATGAAGAGGGTACATAAACACATACTATGTGATTGTTAAGAAAATTGTCCTCAATAGGAATTAACAAACCATTTGCGAATTTTAAAATAAGACTGTCGTCATGTTTTAAGATCGAGTATCTATTGTCATGTTTTACACCATTTTTTACTTCGGTAGATTCTTATTATTATGTTACACATTTTAAGGAGGTAACGTTTCATAACTTGTTATTACATACTAGTAGTATTAACCTCGATCTTATTAATAAGCAGTACATGCAATGCGAGGCCAGTGGCGCGTTTGGCAGCAGCGCTTATAATTAGCTAGCGAGCTACTAAGTTGATGAAGCAAGAAACCTGGGGAGGCCAACTTTAGAGCCTGTATTCTTGACGTCCTCTTGTACTTGCCGTCTGAATTCTCCAAAAGTGAATGGTTTATAAACAGAAGGCTGATGAGAAGAACTCTGAATTGTTGTGTTGTAGGATGGGCAAAAGAAGAAAGCTGTGGAGAATCTCTCTTTCCTTTGGTTGGCAACCACCCGGTGCTCAACACTTTTGTACACCCCATTGCTCCATGCCTGCACATTATATCGATCGGTTATATTGTGAATGTCAAAGTTTAAAATATCAACATATAAAAAAAAAATTGGAGGAGGCCTTCTCCAGCCGCTCCTTGTCTCTCCGAGAGCATACCATGCTTGTATGAAGCATAACAATTTATTTAGACATTGTATCATAAGATTATTGACAAATGAATCACAAAAGTATAATATTTAGTACCATTACCACGAGCAACTTAATTAATATGAGATTAATGATATGTTTAGCACAACTAACTGAAAAAATATTTTTTGAATTTTTATGTTTTTATGTTTAGCACAAAAAAGAGTATACACGGAGTATTATTTTTTAGTGAATGAAAAGATCTTAAATAATGTAGTAGTTGTTTGCTAAAAAGTTGACTGTTTTATTTAGTTCTGTTTGACTAATTAATGTTAGAAGCTAGACTTTTTTCAGATACCACTCCGTGTAACTTGTAAAAAAGATCTTTTACTCCATATTTGGTAAAAACTCTTAAAAATTGTCCAACCAAACTTACAACCAGAAGTTTTTAATGGTCTTTTAAATAGTACACGAGCTAGGAAATATAGAGATATGCCTGCCAAATAACATGTCACGCGAGATATCTTTTGTTGCATCAAATCAATCTTGATATAATATGCGGAGTATCATATTGTTTCTTAGACATGATGAGATTGATTGCTTATTACCGAGTATAATTTAAATGGCGCTTATTATACATATTAAGACTTTAATTGTACTATCTAATATATTTCTAATAAGAGAAACAATTAAGGATTTTACTTATATAATTATAATCTTATACTTCGTTAATATATGACCACTTTATATATAACTTTATCCTTCTATCCTATAAAATTTTGTCAAATTTCTTTATTTATTTAACTGTTCCAAGTTTTTTTTGTTATTTCTAGTTAATGTAATAAATATATGGTTAAATATATTTCTCTGTATATATCAACTACACAACTTCTACTTTATTTCTATTTAAAGTAATAAATATAAGGTTGAATATATTTCTCTATATATATCAACAACAACAACTTCTACTTTATTACTATATGTACATAAAAATTAGGAGTAAATTCCATATATAGACAAAAACATAGACAAAATGCACACACAAAACATCATTGTTTTATTCCTAAAATATGACTCATTCACTCCTAATAGAGAGATTTTTATACTTTTAATAGGATCAAATAAGTCATTTTTGAAAATAAAACACATGTAATCTTATTTGTACACTTTGTTTAGGTTTTAGTCTTATTTTAAAAAAATCTAAATATATCAATTATGGATTTATGGTCAAGTTTTTGGGGTGTTTGGAACTGATCCTGTTCCTGCTTCTTTTTTAAAGCAGAAGAAGAATCAGAATCAGTTTTCAGAAGCTGGTATCCCCTAACTTCTAAAAAACTGCTTCTAAGAATAGATTAGAGTACCGGAAGTACTTCTGCAATTTCACTCAAACATTCCAACTTCTGCTTCTACTCTTTGAAGGAGCAGAAACAGTTTTAAGAAGAGAATTTACCCTAAATGGGACTAATTGGCTTTCCTAATTCCAAAATAGGAGTATTTAACTTTATTTCCCAAAATGGGACTTCTGTGGTCCTAATTACAAATATTACATTTTTTTATTCCTAAAATAGCCCTGTTCGAACTTCCCGTATCTATGTTTGCCTCCTGCTTCCCGCCAGGATCTTGCCTTCCTGTCAAGGAGTGGAGATGTTCGTCCCCATGAGCTTGCCTCCTGCTTCCCGTCAGGATCTTGGCTTCCTGCCAAGTAGTGGAGACGTTCGTCCCCATGAGCTTGCCTCCTGCCTCCCGCCAGGATCTTGGCTTCCTGCCAAGGAGTAGGGACGTTCGTCTCCATGAGCTTGTCTCCTGTGTCCTGCCAGGATCTTGGCTTCCTATGAAGGGGGTGGGGACGTTCGTCCCCATGAGCTTGCCTCCTGTGTCCTGCCTGCTCCCAAGGCCAAGGTTCCTACGTAAGTCTTGCAATTGGGCCTTGCTGGCCTGTTGAGGACGTACGTCCTTGGAGACGTTCGTATTGCCCGTAGCCGATGCTCCTGACGTGACGGATAAGTCGGGTACGGGAAATCGTGCAACAACACCTATTAGTTGAGGGTATAGTTGTCAATTCATAGCTCATTTAGTCCTAGCGAAAATTGACTTTCGAATTTGTCCCATTTTGGAATTTATAAAGCTAAATAGTCCCATTTTGAGAAAATTCCCTAATTTAAATTTTAAAAAATTAAACATAGGTTACTATGTAGTATTATTCCAATACTACTCTAATCACTAGTCACATTTTTGTAAACAATCTTTATTTTGATCAGAAATATGTAATCATTTCATAAAAAGAATGTGAAGTTCCAAAGTATGAGTACAATAATTCTTTCAAAAGTTCACCTAAACTTATGTATTATGTGGTTCCCGTTATCAATGGAGCCGTAAGTATATGGGGAAATTGCCCAAAATAAAAATAGAAACGTTCTATAATTCTAAAATATATGATTGTCATGTTTTTATTTTCGAAATAAGAGTATTCAATTAATGTCATGTTTTGAAAATACCAGACTTTGAACATGACAATATTTTTTAAACATGACAGCAATTGCTTTTACTTAGGAATAAAAACATGACACTCGTATTTCAAAATTTCAAAACGTTTTTACTTCTATTTTGGGAATTTTCTCTAAATATTTCCTAAAACTTACTCCCTCCGTTCCTAAATAAACTTTCAACTTTCCTTTTTGGTCCGTTCCAATTAAAACTTCCACTTTCCCTTTTTAGTAAAGAATTTGTGGTTCACAACATTTCTTACACATTTCTCTCTCCTCTGCACAACTCTCCACCACACAATACCCACTATCTTAAACTCTGTGTCAAACCTATTTGGAAGTTTTAATAGTACAAAAAAGTCAGAAAATATCCAGATTACCAAATATTTTGAAATGTACCGGAATGTATGTAAATATATAAGAGATGGAATTGTTTATAATTCCATTAACTTTGCCAAGAACATGTAAACAAATAAGCAAGTAGCAGTTACCATAAAAAAACAAGTAGTTGTACCAACAAAAATCCGGTTTTGGTTTTGATAGATACCCACTGAACCAACCATTATGTAATTATTATTATAATTATTATTATTTGTTTATAAAAAACAACGCAATATATATTGAATCTTATTTTGTTGCATGCACAAAATGACAAAAGACACATAAAATAAAACGAGCCATAGCATATTCCCTCAAAAAAGAAAATAAAAAAGAAGATATGGAATATTAGTACCTGAAAAAGATCTCCAATATTGATGACAAGTGCGGTTGGCTTAGGCTTAACAGAGATCCATCTATTATCCTTCACCAAATGCAGCCCTCCGATCTGGTCTTGGTGCAGTATGGTGAGGAAGTCGCTGTCGGTGTGAGGCGTCAACCCGAACACGTGATTTGGGCAGGGCGGGTACCGGTTCATCCGAACGTAGCAAGTGGATATCGGGCATTTCTCTTGGAAATAGTTGCCCCGCTTATCGCCCAATTCCTCCACCAATATCGCCGCCAGCTTTTGCGCTAATTCCCTCGACCTTGCTGCAAATTTCCCCATTGTTGACCTGAACCATTTATATATCGTATCATCCTCATTTCATTACAACAATCTTTCCACTATATATACCATAGCACTTTAATTATTCATAGCTCAATCCAATTATCCACTTTAGTTAAAGATGAAACGTAACTCAATTATAGGCCTGACCACGGATCTGGGATTTCCCAATCCGTGCTGAGAACCGTCTCGTACTGTTTCATAACTGAACGAACCAGAAAAATACAATACCATACCGTATTGTACCATTTTTTTTATTAATATGGTACGATACCGGTTCCTAAGTGAGAACCGTTCCAGAATCATCCCGGAACCATATTGAATTGAACCATCCCGAACCGTCTCGTATCGTTCCGAAAAATCCGTTATACAAAATACGGAGTAATATATACGGTGGTTACTGAAAGCTTTGAAATAGACCTTATAATGCACATTCTATGTGCCCCCAATATAATTATTACGCGTACTAAATTTTATAAATAATACCAGTAATAACTATGATACAGAACCCTTAAACCTAATTTAATTATTTTGTCGGTAACCTCGACGGCTCTGCATCCTCCAGAAGTCCGGAACCATAACTTTGTTATAGTTTGACTATTAGTTTTGTAATTGAGCTAGGTTTGATTGCACAAGGTTAGTTTAACGTAAACTTTTCAATCCTGCAATCCCTTCTCTTAACTTTTTGTACAATTACTTAATTAGAAATGCTAAAATCTAAAATATTTTTGACTTCATGGGAGCTAATTATTTATGAATCTAATAGTACCGAAAAACGTACCGAACCGTACCGAAAATTGGTAAGGAATGAGACAGAATCTATATATGTTCGAGACGGTACATGTTCTTTGATTTTTAAAACCCCCTACTTTAGAATGAGACAAGTTTTTTGAAATAACCATCTTGTATCTTCTCATGCTCAACCCTGCTCAATAATGTGTGTTGTCCAAGATAGAACGATTATACGTTCCCCAAGGAAAACGGGGGGAAATGGCAAGCTATAAGGGTCGTGGAAATGGTCGATCCTCACCATGTTCGTATTTAGGTAAGTGTCACATATATATTATAGTAGTACTAGCTAGCTTCATCATTCGTTGAACTTTGTCATTTTCACTTTAACTAATTTAAGAATTTTTATATATTATAGGGTTATTTTTTAATGAAGTACTCCCTCTGTCCCTAAAACATTGTCCTACTTTGACTTTTTGAGTCAAATTTGTTAAACTTTGACTTTTTGAGTCAAATTTGTTAAACTTTGACTGCTAATTACTCAAAATCAATAGTATTTTATCCTTAAAAAGTTATTTAATGTGATTCTTTGTAATATGTATTATTCAAATGTCAATTTATTATAGATTTTATAGGTATATATTAATAGATAATTACAGTCAAACGTTTACCTAGAAGACCTCAAAAGTCAAAGTAGGACAAAGTTTTAGGGACTGAGGAAATATAATGTTTTGATATGAGTTTAATTGGACACTTCATTTGGTCATCAAGACAATTCAATCCCAAATGTCCACCGACATCGATACCCAATTGTGGTGGTAACGCTATTACGCTATTGTGCATATCCACACCTCTTCATAGCTAGCTAGGATGGGCGGGGATCTAGCTAGTATGATTATCCTAGCTATGACCCTGCATGTGGGAAGGCAAGAAAGGCATCAACTTTAGTTTTTTTGAAACTCTAAAGTCTAAACCTATCCATAGAGATTGCATGTCGTAGGTTGTATTTATAATTGGCATGTCCGTCTTTCCGCTCTTATAATTCGAGAGTCTATCAATTGTCTTTCAAAGTCGTTAAATTCGCATTTCATCATTGTCTGTATTTTCTCTAATGATGACTCCAAAAGATGAATTCAATAAAACCTAAGGCGCTTAGCTATTCTCATTATCATATTCCCTCTTCTAAGGCACTAAGGTACTCCGTAAAAATAGGAAACTCATCGAGGCTGGATATATACACAAATAGTAAAGGCCATGTTTGGGTCGAAAAATGTTAGAGACAAGGAAAAATTAATTGTAGTGATTTTTAATGAGTTTTGTGGTATATTGTATTTATTGTATAATATTGGCTCATGCCTTTTTTATACTCCGTATTTTGACAGTTGTTATACCGTGGGAGCAGCCCACCGTGAGCATGCTGCTCCCACAGACAAAAATACGCGTGTTACTGTTCACGCGTGAACAGTAACTTATTTTTTTGTTTTTCCAGTGTCCAGTAGCAGAGTAATGTAACTCACGTGTAAAGAAATGTAACTCACGCTGATCAGAAATGTAACTGCAGGCAAGTCCAAATGTAACTTGTCTAATACGAACTATAAGAAATAAAACATTGATTTCCTTGAAACAAGGAGTCTAATTGCTCAATTACTTTACGTAAATAGTGAATATGTTTTGTTTTTAATATTAAGACCATAAATAATTTTTCCCTTAAAATCATTTTTTTTTTGCCAAAAAATCATTTTTTTTGCAAAAAAAATCATTTTTCCGCCATTTTTTCCCTTGCAAAAAACTCGTTTTTTTGTTTCAATAGCATGTGTTTACTTAAATAGTGAATATGTTCTGCCAAAAAATATTTTTTTTTAAATAACTTTTTTGCTAAAGAAATCATTTTTTGCCTTGTTTGGCAAAAAATGATTTTTTTTGTTTCAATAGTAGAGCTTTATGTTGCGATGTAACTTATGTTATAGAAAATGTAACTCACGTTGATGAAAAATCTAACTTAGGTCAATGTAAAATGTAACTTGTTAAAGTAAGTCCAAATGTAACTCGTGTAAAGGAAGATGTAACTCACGCATAAAAAGATGTAACATGCGAATAAGAAGATGTAACTTCATATACTATCAAATGTAAACAATGAAAACATGAAGTCTAATTGCTTAATTTTTTTTAACGTAAATAGTTAGTATGTTTTGTTTTTTGTATTACGGCCATAAAAATGTTTCAAAGAAAAATAATATTTTTTGCCACAAATATTAATTTTTTTTGCCGCAAAATCATTTTTTTCCAAAAAAAAAATCATTTTTGTTTGCAAAAAAAGTTTTTTTTGGTTTCAATGGATGGATTTATTTTGTGATGTAACTCGTGTTATGAAAACATGTAACTCATGCTAAAAAATCTAAATTAGGTGTATGCAAAATATAATTTGTTGAGGCAAGTCTAAATGTAACTCGTGTATAAGAAGATGTAACTCATGGACAACAAGATGTAATTCGCCTATAAAAAGATGTAACTTCATATAATATCACATGTAATCCCATAAATTGGCTATAAACATAACTTACACATATGAAAAACGTAATATAATTCATGTTTTATGAAATTTAAATCGAAAAAACAAATTTTATGTCTTAAAAAAACTAAAAACATATCAAAGAGATAAGAAATATTTTTTTTTTTATAAAGAGATAAAGAAATATATTATAGAAAAAAAATTATGAACATGAAGATAAAGATTTTTTTTAGATGAATTATTATGTATTGATAAAGAATAAAAAATAGATTCAATTATAATTTAAGATGAAGATAAAGAAAGTAGGATTGCAATTAAATTTTTAGTATTTTAATTTGATGGAAAAAGAAAAGAATTGAACAAAAGAAAAAAAAAGAAAAGCAAAGGAAAAGGAAATAACAAAGTTGGAGACAAAGGAAGTGAGAAAAGGAAAGCAACGTAACTTTCCTAAAAGTGGAATCGGAACACCATGCGGAAGGTGGGCCGATCCCACGGTATAATTTGCGGTATTTTGATAGGACCTTCACCTCTATCTAGTAGTTTAGTCTAGCTATCTAGCTAGCTAATTCACCAAGTACTCCGTATTTTGATAGGACATTCTTTGGTACGTTTTTATAGATAAATAATCAATAAGTTACTTGTTCTGTAAGTTTTTTGAGTCAATTTTGACGTAAATTTCAAATATGTGAGGATTATATATTTACGTCCAATATTAAATATTACATACGGAGTAGTATAAAAAACAGAATAGAATATATTTTCGTTTTAGATCATGAATGAAACATATAAAATGGGACCACCAAAATACTCCATTCAACTGATTCAAGTGCTCATGACGGAAAGTAATAAAAAAAAACTTTTGTGTTAAATTAAGGAAGCAAAGTAGCCTAGTATAGTCGCAAATATGTAGTCTATAGACAAAATCTAAGTAATGAGTAATGAACGTAACATGCATTTCCACCATAAGTGGGCGACTTTCACGGCAGGAGTCACGTCCCGATTCCCAAAATCTTACTCCGTATGATTTTCTTTAGAATAAAATTAAAGATAACAATTCTGGTACCCGTTTAAAAAATAGTGTATCCTACTTATCATTTAATGGTCCACATCAATATATCATTTTTAATTTAGACTTAAATAATTCAATTGCAACATTCTCATTGATCGATGTGGACAAAAGTATGATACCTTATGAGTATCATAGAATCTACCAAAATTAAATTAGGTCCATGAATCCAGCGAGATAGAATAAATGAAAAAGTATAAAAGAATAACATTTTTGTTAATTGTGTGGATATGATATGAGCGGTGACGCTAAAAATTGCATTTGGTTAAAAAAATAGTGAAGTCAAAGTTCATGCACATTGCTGTGAATATGAGTAAAGCAAGCTAGCTAGACTAAAGCTAGCTAGACTAAAGTTTTTTCATTATTATAAATACAAGTATCTCACAAATGTGACATGCATGTTTACTCTTGATATATAAGAGAAGCCAAGTTGTTAAAAGTTTATAGTAGTAAATGACTAGCTTGTGATATATTTGTGAAAAAGTGTTACTATTGTCGTCCCCTAAATTTCTTGTATTCATTTCAGGATGTACCTAGCTAACTAGATGTTGTTTATTTGTCATCTAATAAAAAATGCTATCAAATTCCTCTACTATATTCAAATAACGATAAATATATGCACTATTAAACAAGGTTACATCAAATGTTACTCTAGTGTGTTTTATTTAGAAATGATGACTTATTTTGCAAAACTATCTTTTGTTTGTTTGCGACATACTGAATCCTACCTATCTCATTTGAATGGGACCGGGATAACCTTAACCATGCGGAGTGTGTTGGGGCAGACGCGGGAATTCTCGGTAGACGGGGCGGCAAAGTAAAAAAATACATACAAATACATATATATTAAAATTTTGTGTTCCATATACCTAGGGGGAAATGGTGGCCAGAGTGGCCCAACTTTGCCCATCTTTGGGTCCGCCGTTGTGCCCACCTCTTCCTAGTATTACCTTCGTCCTGACTTAACATTTATATTGAAAAGTGACACAATGATTTAGACAATAGTTAAATAATTTATTGAGTATATCTAGATAAGTAATTTCAATGGTATATAACATAATGAGGTCATTGATGACAATTAAAATGTTATACGTAGTATGTGTATTATTTTGGGAAATAGCCGTGTTTTGACAAGTAATTAAAATGTTCTTCAATTTACAAAATAGGTCTGTTGTGTTTATCTTACCAAAATAGGAGATGCTACTGTCAAAATTGAAAAACACTTCCATTAGTGGCAGTAAATAGGCCCAGAATGGGACTAAACGTGTGAATCTTAGGTCAGAATACTAAGAGTCCCTTTACTAACATAGATATTTTCTAATTTTCTTTTTTGTTTTCCGTTTTCCATTTTTCTGCTTTGATTGTTCAGTTTTTTCGTTCTCCAATTTTCTATTTTCAAATATAAAAACATTTTCACCGATTTTTTTCACCCGGTTCTGGGATTGGGCGGAAGACTGAAAATACGATCCTAGTAAGGAATCGAACCTAGCTATTACGACCCAAATAGGGTACCTCTTCCCGGGTAGAAGAAAGTTGGGATCGAAACTGACGAGACCCAACGACTAGTTTGACTAATTCTTTACCTTTTCCTACTATTAGTTGACAACTCAACTAGTCTTTTTAAACTCTTCACTTTGAAAATATAATTTTAAAAAAGGGACCGGAATAGAACAGTGACCACCGATCGCCAGGTGCTCGACCGGACCGGACAAGAACTACCAGATAGTCGACCAGACAAGAGCGGGAGTAGATAGAACGCACCATATGATGTCATGATACAGTATGTATGTAATACGGAGTAAATAGAACGCACCTAAGATTGGTCTGAGCAGCTGCAGAGGAGGAGTTGGAGATGTCGGTCAAGGGGACGTGAAAAGACTCCGACCAAGAGAACTGCCACAGGTTGGTGGCAGTCGGTGTCCCCCACTGGTAATTCCCGTCAGGAAAGTGGACCTTCATGTTCCTCTCCCTCTCCACGAACGCCTTGCTGAAGAGCCCCACCTGCTCCGATCTCATGTTCTCCAGAACCTCCGGCGGGATCCCGTGGTTGACCACCTGGAAGAACCCCCACTCCCGGGAAGCTCTGGCTATCCTCCTCTGGCACTCCTTCCTCACGGCACTATCCCTGCTGTTGAGCTCGGCCAGATCTATCAAGGGCAGCTCCAGCTCCTCCGCCGCCTCGTGCCGTGTCTGGTTGGTCAAACCGTGCCTCTGGAAAAGGTTCTTGTATTTCTCCATGAATGGTGGGTCGTCGCTGCCGGCCGACGACTGTTCTGCCATGATAGATGTGGCCGGAGTGATTGCCGGCGTGGGCAGATTAATTACCAAGTATGTAGAAGGTAGCAAGTTTGGGTATATAGAGAGATATATCCAAGAGATAGAAACTTGCTAAGCTATTTATAGTAGGCGTCGCGCCATACTCATGGTGTGAGGGAGGGACCAGTTAGGCCGGGGAAGCATCTCCAAATACATGAACTGATTTCATTAGTATTACGGAGGTACTTACATTTTTGTTTTATTCTAAAAACAAAAATGTTCTTTGTCCACCTCAACTTACACGTCCATTTACACGCGTGTTTACACACTCATTTACATGTCAAGTGTATTTTGTTTGTGACCGCAAAATGTTTGTGCATATGCAATTCATTTTTTGGGGTCACACGCATTTCCCTTTACTAAACTGAGAAATACGTAGGAATTGTTTGTGCATAAACAAAATTACACTTGGCGTGTAAACGGACGTGTAAGCCGGCATGTATACCTAACCTTTTTATCTGAGAAATATTAACACTTCCTCCTCCTATTAGATTTTACCAAGTTTCTTGTTTGAATGTCCACAAATTTCAATCATACCATTTTTAATTTTCTTATTGAGGTTTTAACAAAAATATTATTCAAAATGAGTTGTGAATAAAAAAAGATCTTTTTTTGGTTTCCAAAAAAGAGATTAAAAAGGGCTATGAGACTACTACACCCTTACTAATATAATCTCATCTCAATCTAGTGTCAAAGTAACGCCACAGTGACAAAAAATTTGTCAATGACCACTGCCCCGGTGATCACTTGGACAATGACAACCGTCGGTCACGGTCAGGGCCGGCCATAGGGGGAGTTACCCTAGACAAGTGTCTAGGGCCTCCAAATTTTAGGGGCATCTAATTTATAAAATAAGCTTATTAATATTATTTAGGAGACTTTGTCCGGCCGTCAACATTTGGGATAGTTTCCTTTGTAATTTTTTGATGATTTTTTTTAGAATTTTATTCATTATGTCTAGTTTACTCATACCAAATTTCACCTAAAAATTCAATCGGGAAGACATTCAAATGAATTCTTGAAAATAACTGCGCAGTTAAAAGCGCAGTTATCTTCAAGAATTTATTTGAATGCCTTCCATGTTGAATTGTTAGCTGAAATTTGGTATAAGTAAACAAGACTTAATGAATAAGATTCTCAAAAAATTTCATCAAAACATTTCACCGGGAACTGCCCCAAATGGCGACGGCGGGACAAAGTCTCTTATACAAGGGCTTATTTGACCTTTTTGGTTAGTATGTGGGCTTATTTGCTCCTTTTTCCTTTTTTTTTTCTTTGTTGGCGAGGGCAGTAGGGCTAGAGATTTAGGATAATGAGTATTCTAATAATATTTGAATGCTTATTGAATAATTGAAATTGTAATTTGTTATTTTGATTCATCGAAATATTGAACATACTTATAATTTTTTATATTTGATTAAATTTAGTGAATTAAATTTATATCTATGAACCATTAACTTATATATAGTGATAGTATTATTTTGAATATAATTTTATGTTTTGTGATGATTGGAAAACAAAATATGAATCAAGATGTACAAAGACAAAGAAAAAAATTAAGAAATGATTTGGTCATGGAATCACTTTCTGGCTCTATCGATCGGTATATTGTATGTAAGCACAAAACCTTCTCCCTCTAGGGCTCTTTGTATTTTTTCATCAACTTTGATCTTCTGATTTCGAAGAATATCCTCACTGTGTTAATAGTATATGATGTATTTTATATGTAATTTACTTATATTTAATTGCTATTTTTTATATCATTGGGTTAAATAAAACATATTTAAAACAAAATTTCTACACGACCGTCTAGGGCCTCATAATTGCTGTAGCCGGCCCTGGTCACGGTAACCAACGTCATTGTCGACCCCTGTGACTAGTGATCCAGTGACCTCGGACCCGGTGAGTCTGATTCCACACAGTGACCTGTTTTTCAAAGTAAAACCTCGCCTCGATGACCCGCCATCTATGATTGTCAAGATCACATTGATCACACTAGTATCCGTGATCGCCGACATGTCCATGACCGTTGCATCTAACGTTAACACCGCTACCCAACTACATGCCATTATCCAGTAACTCGAGCCACTATCCCGACACCCCCACCAGCCACCCCACCGCTGCGCCAACTCTCTCCACTCGCCCCTTGCCAAACCTCTCCCCCACCCTTGACCACTCTCTCATACTACCCAAGGACCCACTGCCCTAACCCTCCCATGTCATTGCCCATCAAACCCCCTTATCCTTCCCTCACCCTAACCACATCCCCAGTCATCTCCTGTTGCAACACCCGCCGCCGTCGTGTTCTAAAAAAGCGAGTGCCTAAAACAAGGAATGTTGAAAAATAGAAGAACTGTGGTAATAAATTTGATAAAAGTAATACTGTATACGGTATTATGACTTTAAAAAGTGGGGTCACTTTGTTGATTAATGTTGGCACAGGAGGGATAAGTAGGATGAAAGTGGGGAATTGGGGATAGTGGTAAAACTCACATTGCAAAAGAAGAGGCCATTGATTCTGAGCCAATTATGTTAATAGCCACAGTATATGATAAAGAGATAATTCCCTCATTAGGAGCAAAACATAACTAATGTGCAAAAGTAGGAGTCCTATGTCTCGCAAGATTGAATAGGAGTAAAAAAAGATGAGTAGACAAAACTACCCTTAATGAATCCCACATGTTTATTAAATTATAAAATAGAATAATAAATCAAAGCATATACAACAATTGTCCCTGCGTGCCACAGCCCACAAGCAGACGACAACATCACCATCGCCTGGACCTTGCCGTCAGACGTAATTACCTCCGGTCTCCGTCGTCGCTGGACATCACTGCCACCGCCATCTCCTCAACCGCCTCCGCCAATATTCCAGCCGGTCATCTACGTTGCCGCCAACCGCCGGAGTCGCCGTCTTCATTGCCTGCAGTTGCCAGCGCCGCCATCTCTGTTGCCACAAGATGCCGGCTTCCCTGCCCCATCTACTGCTGCCGCCAGATTATATGTTGACTCGCTATGGTCACTCACTCACTTTACCACCGCCCTCAAATCTAGAAAAAATGGGTAAAAATGCCATTTCATAACTTGAGATGACATTCATATAAGACCAGATCAAAACAGAGGAGGATTTATAGTCATTTTGACATATCATGACATTTATGATATTGTATTGGGGAGTGTCATATATTGCCATCTAGCATGGAGTTATTGCCATAGAAATGGCACTAATTGTCAAAAAAATGAAATTATAACTTTGTGATGGCATTAATTACCAAAAACACAACATTTTATTGTCATCTTAAAATGGCACTATAAGAAAAAAATTATGCCATTTTTTAAAAACATGAACTGAAATGATTAAAAAATAAGATCTGTTTATGTAAGTGACATTGGAGCCTCACATATTTCAACCAAAAAAATTACAGATCTAAAATTTATTTAAATCTCAAAATTAAACATAAATATTAGTCATAGATCTTTTAGATATAAAATCATTAATCTGAAAATGTAAAATAAAGTGATCAAAATTAATAAATATAAAATAAAACTAAATAAGTTAAAAGACTTTAATGTTTTAAAATAATGAAATCTAGATCCAAAATAGCATTTCGTAAATAAAATGATTGATGGAAAATAAGCAAAAAATCGAAATGAAAAGAAAAAATAGGCAGAAGAAAAAGAAGGAGAAGAGGAAGAAGAAAAAGGGAAGAAGATGATGAAGAAATTAAAGAGGACATACCAATAATTTTTACATTCGATTCCACTACTCAAATTCGCCGGACATAGGTATCATATCGTTGGCCTCTCAAATTCATCCGAAGTGTGCATATTTTTAAAATCTCTGAAGTGGATATGAGAGGTGAGGTGAATTGCAAAAGGAGATAAATATCAAATAAGGGATGGGCAAGGAAAGAAGAAAAATGAGAGAAGGAAGAAGGATGAGAGATGATCGAGACACATGATGGAAGGGAGAGAGAATGATGGGAAAAGAAAAAGAGAGCAGGGAAGAGATAGAGACTTGACTTACTCAGACGGTGAGCATTAAACGTGAAAGCTATTGAAGTAAAGGCAAGGGAGGGTAAATCTGGAATAAATCAAATTAGAGAACGGATGGTCAATTAAAAACTCCTACTTAAGGAATAAATCAATGGTAACTCCTATATTGGAACTTTTTTATTGTTTAACTCCTATCCTAGATAATTTCTTTATGATAAATATAACACAGATCAATTCAGGGATCTTGATACTAGAGGCAGAAACCATATGACTAGTCGCAAGAATCAACTATTTTAATTTGAATAAAGTAAGAGAAACAAGATTAAGTTTACTGATGAAAGTGCAATAGCATTTGAGGGTGTTAGGAGTGTAGCTATGGAGAGGGAAGATGGTAGAATGTAAATCAATGAAAATGTGTTATTTGTCTGAGAAAGAAAGTCTAATTTTTTAAGTCTTGGTCAATTGTTATCAAAAGGATACTCTATAATATGAAGAATAGGGAATTGGGGCTATTTAATTCAAATCAAGAAGCTGGTTTTGAAAATTTATCTGACAAGGAACGGGACCTTCCAACTGCATATCAATGCAACAGAAGTTCAGTGTCTCAAAGCAGCCGTCTCAATTGATGAAAGTTGTCTTTGGAATGCAAGATATGACCATTTGAACATTAAAAATCTACAACAGTTGAGAAAACATTTAATGGTTGTAGGCAATCCTATGATTACAACTTCAATAAAAGTGTGTGGATGAATGTAATATTAGTTAGCAACCTATGAATAGCTTCAAGCACCATGTCTTTAGTGCTAATGACTTACTTAATGTAGTGAGCTCTTATGTATATGGACCATTTGAACATTCTCCTCTTGTTGACCGTAAGTATTTTGTCTTTTTTATTTATAACTTTAGCAAGAAATTTTGGATCTATTTCATTAAAACCAAATCAGATGTGTTTGGAGTTTTTCAAAAGTTTAAATGGTACAAGTTGAATAGGTATTCAGTATCTACTTTACTTACTATTGATGTATTAAACACGTGAAGCTAATAAAACCTAGTGCTTAAAACTCTTAAACTAAAATTTGAGAGATCAGAAGGTCGAGTTCAATGTG